TATTTTGTTACGTAGTGTTGACATCACCATCATCAATTATCATCATCGTGAAATAAAGTATCAAAGCTGTGACAAGGACAAGGCCACATTTTGCTCAGAAATAATTCCCATCTTTTTCAGGACAAAATTACAATTTTCAGTTGCCCGCTCCTTTCCCAACAGCCAGATTCTTCTGCAAAGTCCACTTCAACCCCGTCAATGTAAATTAATAATAATAATAATAATAATAATAATAATGCCAAAATTCGATAGCTAGACTCATAAGTGTTGTTTTGCAAAACAGGTAACCTACTGAATAAGACAAAATAGCAACAATGCTCGCTCTTGACTGACTGCCTCAGCCTTTTGTTTGAGTGTCAGGCGATAAAAAAGTTTCAAAACAGAGGAAATGGTTTTGCAAATGTCATCAAGAGGGTTTGGCTTCCCAATCAGCCACATCTGAGGACATTTCAAAGCCATTCTCAAAATTAAATTGAAAAAAGGAATGACAATGAGCTACTTTTAAATGTGGGTGGGTGGCTGTGTATATAATTTTAGATCATACGTTGTTTTTCCCCTAAAACCAGCCTTATGACTACAAGTAAATTGGTTTTCTGCAATGTCTATTTGGTTTGAGGAATCCCCTTCTCTAACTTGGAGTGGAGATAAAAAGAGATAAGAAATTTGGTTCAAACCCGGTGTAGCCACCAGTTCAGAATATACTGTTTTTCCATCCAAACAACCCTAACCTGTTTTATAGGAATAACACATGCTTATGAAATCCAGTCTACAATACAACCAGTCCCAAATAATGTGTTAAGTCATGCCAAACAGGCTTGCAGTAACTAATAATAATAATAATAATAATAATAATAATAATAATAATAAACCTTTATTTATACCCTGCTACCATCTCCAGAAGGACTCGGTGCAGCTTACAAGAGGTCGAGCCCAAATACATCAGTAAAACACTACAACAACAGTACAATAATAATAAAAACCTCATAAACAAAGCAAAAAACATAAATAACACCACGGCGCATTAAAACCTGTGGCAAGGCCAAATGTAGTACTTAAAATCTTTAAAAATGTTGGGCATGATCAGGTGAAATAGGATAGATATTTTAGGGATAGGTGGGGCGTGCAGGCAATTCTAGATCTCTAGTAAAGTGTATTTGGGACATATTGCTTGGAATTTCCTTATTCTGGGAAGTCACACTGGAAAAACCACGTTTTCAAGCTCCTTCTAAAGACTGCCAACGTTGGGGCATGCCTGATGTCCTTGGGGAGTGAGTTCCAGAGTCAAGGGGCCACCACTGAGAAGGCCCTGTCCCTCATCCCCACCAATCGCGCTTGCGATGCAGGTGGGATTGCGAGCAGGGCCTCTCCAGATGATCGAAGAGATTGTGTGGGTTCGTATACAGAGATGCAAAACAGACATGAATCAAAACATTTCAGATTCCCTGGATTAGGGATATAACCTGATAATGATCCCATCAGCCACTTAATTTTCATCTTTCGTTTTTATGTACATCTTAAACTAGAAGTATAAATAAATACTTATATTTATACTTATAAATATTATTTATATTTATATTTATAAATATATTATTATGATTTATAAATATATTATTATGATTTATAAATATATTATTTATAAATATATTATTATGATTTATAAATATATTATTTATAAATATATTATTATGATTTATAAATATATTATTTATAAATATATTATTATTTTATATTATACTATTTATATTATATTGTTTATATTATTTATAAATATTATTTATAAATACTGTGGCGCAGTGGGTTAAAGCGCTGAGCTGCTGAGCTTGTTGACCGAAAGGTCACAGGTTCGATTCCGAGGAGCAGCGTGAGCTTCCACTGTCAGCCCTAGCTTTTGCCAACCTAGCCTTGGAGGTGTCTACGGACAACGCCGGCTCTTCGGCTTAGAAATGGAGATGAGCACCACACCTCAGAGTCAGACATGACTGGACTTAATGACAGGGGAAAACCTTTACCCTTTAAGTATAAATAAATACACTGCAGCTACAACCCAACAGGCTTCAAAGTGCTGAAATTCAGCTGAAATTGGTGATTTTTTAGGGAAGCATAACTTTGTGTTTAATGATGAACCCATATGTGTGTACACATGCATTATAAAATGCATACGATCAATGCTGAATATTATATGTATGCAGCCCTTTACTATTAGACATTATAAAAACATATAATTAATGCTGTTGTTGTTTATTCGTTCAGTCACTTCCGACTCTTCATGACCTCATGGACCAGCCCATGCCAGAGCTCCCTGTCGGCCATCATCACCCCCAGCTCCTTCAAGGTCAATCCAGTCACTTCAAGGATACCATCCATCCATCTTGCCCTTGGTCGGCCCTTCTTCCTTTTTCCTTCTATTTTCCCCAGCATCATTGTCTTCTCCAAGCTTTCCTCTCTCCTCATGATGTGTCCAAAGTACTTCATCTTGGCCTCTACTATCCTTCCCTCCAGCGAGCAGTCGGGCTTTATTTCCTAGAGTATGGACTGGTTGGATCTTCTCACTTTGTCCAAGGCACTCTCAGAACTTTCCTCCAACACCACAGTTCAAAAGCATCTATCTTCCTTCGTTCAGCCTTCCTTATGGTCCAGCTCTCACATTCATAGGTGACTACGGGGAATACCATTGCTTTGACTATGTGGATATTTGTTGCCAGTGTGATGCCTCTACTCTTCACTATTTTATCGAGATTGGTCATTGCTCTCCTCCCAAGAAGTAAGTGTCTTCTGATTTCTATATAATTAATAGCACAATGATAATATAGTCATTGGCTTTCCTGCAGCTTCCCAAACAGCCACATCTGACTGTTGTAAGAGCTTTTATGTCTTATGTATTATTCCCAGTGATGCAGTGGGGAATACATGTACAAATAATAATAATAATAATAATAATAATAATAATAATAATAACTTTATTTATACCCCGCCACCATCTCCCCAAGGGACTCGGAGCGGCTTATATGAGGTCAAGCCCAACAAAACCTCATTTGTAGTGATTTCACATATATTTCTTTTATATACATAGAAGGCATCTGCCCAGGGTACTATAGCTTCCTAATATGAACACTCAGCTCCCAGTGAGAGTAACACATGCAGTTGCCACGCATGACAATCTACACGTGGTTTTCACTCTTTTTCGTACAAGGAAATGCTTCCCCTTAAGGAAGCGTGTAATACATCAACGGGCCCAAACTGAAACAACTATTAGTCCTGGGGGTGGGGGTGGGGGGGATGACACTTTCTCTATTTTGCATTGCTTCCTTTCAAAATGTTCCGATCAGCTTTTTAGTTGCTGTCGTGTTTGCTAATTGTTATTATATCCAGAAAAATAGAAGGATAATCTCTAATCGCTGCTCCTCATTCCATGGGTTTTTGTACTTGTCAATGACTAGATTCGACATGTCTGCATATTATTATTATTATTATTATTATTATTATTATTATTATTTGGGAAATAGTGCTGAATATAAAGCTTATATTATTATTATTATTATTATTATTATTATTATTATTATTATTATTTGAAACACAGCAAGATGAGTCCACAGCAGATACTCTGCTGGCTGTTGTATTGGATCACACATCGGACACTTCCCAAGTGTCTAGGACTGTGTGATGTATCGCCGAATAATGCATGCAGATCCCAGTAAGGTAGCCTTCTAGAGCTGGCAGATGGTAATTTTGTCAGCGCCGATTGTGTTTAAGTGGAGGCCAAGGTCTTTAGGCACTGCACCTAGTGTTGTTGTTGTTGTTATTATTTCCAGTATTTATATTCCACCCTTCTCATCCCGCAGGGGACTCAGGACGGATTACAATGTACATATACATGGTAAACATTCAATGCCATAGACACACAACATAACTAATTAATCTTAATTAATCTTGTATTGTTGAAGGCTTTCATGGCCAGAATCACTGGGTTGTTGTAAGTTTTCCCGGCTATATGGCCATGTTCTAGAGGCATTTTCTCCTGACGTTTTGCCTGCACCTATGGCAAGCATCCTCAGAGGTAGTGAGGTCTGTTGGAAGTAGGAAATTAATTATGCATAATCTTATTAATTAATCTTAATTAATAAGATTATGCACGCATGTCTGTCTTTACAAAGACATGGAATTTTGGACAAAACAACATTGTCACTTTGGTAGGAAACATTAAGTAGGTATAGGTATTTGATTTATTTTTTAACAAAACATAATGAAAGAAATAATCACAGTTTGGTTTTGCTACACATTGAACGCTGATAGGAAACCATGTAGAAGATATGGTTTGATAAGGCAGGCAATTACCGGTAATTGTCAAGCAAAGGAGATACCACAGTGATAATGGAGATAATTCTGAGAAACTAATCTCGGCATAATTTGAAACTGAAGTACAGATGGACGTTCCAGCCCTATTGATCAGTGGTAATTATTTAATTTTAATTATCTTGTATACTCCCCCCCCCCCCCTTTAAGAAAAAAATACTGATTTCTGTCATACAGAGAATTTGGATACAAAATCTTTTTGGCTTGCAATTGTGCTGTGAAAAATTCAGTTTGCTAAGCCATACAGTTTTGTCTTTCATAATCTTGATTTCTAGCAGAAAGGCAACAAGAGGGAGAAAAACTCACAATTCCTAAAGAATAAAAATAAAACTAAATTTAAACTTGCATGGATGGATCTTGATCTGCTTATTCTAAACTACTTGCGACAACGTGAAAATGATGACTAAAATGTAAAAAAAATAATTAGAACTTGACCAAAATACAGGACGTCAAACATAGGACACTGAGATCAGTAAACAAATTGCAACACCAACCAGCGATCACTCTGAGCCGTGATAGGAATGACTTCTAATGGTGCAAACAATCATATTCAGCCGAGGGGAAATGAGTGCCGATATTCAGTTCTCTTCTTTCCAAGGAAGATGCCGAGCATCCTTTCCCTACCTCCCCCAAATGCCCCTTTTCCTCACCTGTCAGACTTCACCCATCCAAAGGCACCTTTCCATCTCCAAAGGTCAAGGAGGGTCATTTTCTTGAGATGGGGATGCAGGCAGTACAGTCCTGTCCAACTGCTGAGGAATTTCGAAGGAAGAGCTGTCACCTCATGGCGGGCGGCAAGGAGAAGGCCCGGGTGGCAAGCTGCGGAGGCATGGAGAACCAGAATCAGTGCAGTCTACCTGAAGACACACCAGGAGGGCCGTAGTCTGATCCTAGTGCCTGGAATGGACGCGGCTGGCTGGCACCGCCGGGCAGCTCACCCCCAAAGCCGACCACATGGCTCCTGCCGGCTACCATGCTCGGGGGCCATGATTCGTGTCTGCTTCCTCTCTTCTGCACTGCTTCCCTGAGTCAGAGCTTGCGTATATGGTTATTATTGTTATTAGCGGTGGGGTTGGGGACATCAAATCAATTAGGCTCCAAGCTTTTCCTGCCACCTCCAATCCCCCTGAGGCCACCTCTCTCTCTCTCTCTTTCCCTCATTGACAGGCACTGCGTAGCCACTGGAAGGAGCTGCTTTGAAGAAGGAGCCTGGGCCAAGCCCCCTCCCTCCCTTTCTGCCTCCCCTCCCTGCAGGAGGGAGATTTCCTGCCCTCTTTGGACGGGGGATGTTCTGCAGTTGGAAGATAAGCAGCCAGGAGCTGCCTGCACTGGACTGATAAGGAAACTCCCGACTCAGACCCAGCCTAAGCAAGGGGACTTGGAAAGCAAACAAGAGGAAGCCCAGCGTCTACACATTGGAATAACAGAGACCAGCTCACACCAAAGACTCCACGGCACAGGCAGAATAAAGATAGTTAGCTCAGAGCACTTTCATTAGCTCTGGGTGGAAACACCGCTTGGGTGCCGCAAGAGGAAGACCGAGAAAAGGCAGTGGGTGGCTTTTCCTCGGCTGGCCAACTCAGCAGTCCCTTCCCAGGCCAATGGCCGTCAACTTCTCCTTGGGCACCATCTTGACCTGATCAGACTCCAAAAGCCAGGCAGGTGAACCAGCCTGGGTGCCATAGGTTTCAAGGATAAGGTTTTTATCCTGCAACTTGGATAAAAACAGTACATTATCCATAGCTCAGAAGTTTGTAACAATGTGCTTTTTTGTAACAGAACAGCAAAATTTGTTACTTTTGTCTTTTTTTAGTTTCATTTGTAGCATCTACTCATCATTTTAAATTACTTAGATAGGTAAGAAAAGTTGGAGAAAGACTTGGCACTTTTCATTTTGTGTAATGTTTTGCCCCCAGTGGCGCTGTGGGTTAAACCGCTGAGCTGCTAAACTTGTTGACTGAAAGGTCACAGGTTTGAATCTGGGGAGCGGCGTGAGCTTCCACTGTCAGCCCCAGTTTCTGCCAACCTAATAGTTTGAAAATATGCAATCAATAAGTACCGCTCCGGCAGGAAGGAAACGGTGCTCAGGGGCGGCTCAACCCATTACGCAAAGTAAGCATTTGCAGTATAGTTGATTTTGCCCAGGGGCGCTCTTGAGGCACTCTTGGGGGAAAATAGATCTTGACATATGCGATTTGTAGTTACTGGGATGTATAGTTCACCTACAATCAGAGCATTCTGAACTCCACCAATGATGGAATTGAACCAAACATGGCACACAGAACTCCCACGACAAACAGAAAATATATATCAGTGATTGGTTGGGGGGGGGGGGGGGGGGGGGGGGGGGGGGGAGAGGGGCGCCAAAATACTGTTTGCTTACCATTGAAAATTACTTAGGGCCGCCTGTGATGGTGCTCCATGCAGTCTTGCTGACCACATGATATTGGAGGTGTCTACGGACAATGCCGGCTCTTTAACTTATTTATTATTTATCTATTTCATATATTTATATCCCACCCTTCTCCCCACAAGGGGGACTCTGTGCGGCCTCACATGAGCATCAGAGGATGCTAACAGCATAAATACCATAAAAATTGCAATTTCGCAATAACATCATTTTAAAACATTGTACAACATCATCAGTAATATTTAACAATAAATTAATAGATTAGAAATGGAGTTGAGCACCAACCCCCAGAGTCGGACATGACTGGACTTAATGTCAGCAGAAAACCTTTACCTTTACTAATTTTTGTAAGAAACATACAATAATAATGGCCAACGAGAAACACATACATAAAGAGATTGCAGAGCTAGTGCATTCATCCTCGATGTATCTTCCATGTCATTTATGGTACCAATGCTTGATTGTTGGAACGAACATGATGGTAATATCCCTTTTGGAAAAAGAAATAAGGATTAACAAGAGTATGAAAAATCACCCGGTGCTGATGGATTAATTTGAAACAATACATATTTTAAAAACATTCTAGACACAGTCCAGATGTTGACATCTTCCACCTGTAGCTCTTGATAACATTCAAAAGTGTCTCTCTGAAGATTGCATCCCAACAGTCAGTTAAAGACTTCCCCAATTTCTGCAAAGGAAATATATTTGAATGGGCCAATGTAAAAGCATTGGCTCAGTAACTATTCAACCCTTTCAGAGCTGGAGGCTGTCTGACACCACATAATTTAAAAGAAAAATGGGTTCCCCTAAAACTGTGGAGACCAAAATCTACTGATTGTGGTAATGTGAAAATAACTAAATTAACTCAATGTATATATTACAAATACACATATTAAAAAAAACAAACAGGACTGCCACATTCACATTAAGTAGAAACAATTGGTTCTTCTCTTAAAAGTATAAAACAAAGTCTTCGTGTGAGTAAATGTCCTGTTCTTTATTCCATATGAGTAGACTCCAGTAGTCACATGAATTGACTCCAACCTGCAACCGGTTTCGACTCACAAGAGCCTTCGTCAGGTGGTTGGGTTCAAATTATCAAAAAAAGCTCAACTTTTGAGGTGAGAAATTCACTAACAGTCTTCTGGAGGGGTGGATCAGCTAGTCTTTGTTGAGCAATATACTCTGCAAGGAGTTTTATTCTGTGGCGAGTATATCATTTACTCACATGAAGATTATGTTTTATACTTCAAGAGAAGAACCAGTTGTTTCTACTTAATGTGAATGTGGCAGTCCTGTTTTTTTATATGTGTATTTGTCTCCACACCACATAATTTTTTAAATATTTTATTGGGTTTTTATAATTACAGCGAAAGTGGGGGAATAATTCAAGAAGATAGGAAAGTAGGAAAGTAGCAAAAGCAATAACACCCGTGAGAGAGAAAGAAGGAAAAAGACAAAAAAAGACAAAAATCGAAAATCAAAAGTTGGGATTTGGACTCCCTTCTGATTCTGCCCGTACAGTATCTTCTTTTGTCTGTGTATTATATATATTTCAGTTTATGCTTTCATTATGTCCTCAGTACCGTTATAAGTCTTTATACCTTGTTTCATTATAGTCGTCAATTATTGACCAGTTTGTCTGTTTGCCTGGATTGCCTGTGTTCTTTTTTAATAAAAAAAGAACACCACATAATTTAAAACATTTCTCTGAAGATGTGCAGAAATGCACATCTTGGGCACATTAGATTTTTTGAAGAAACCATCTTCCTCGTCTCCTGACTTCAGGGTTTACTTTAACCCTATTTACTCTGCCTTGCTCAGGATTGTGTATATAGAGAATCTAGAATATGATTCCCTGAGGAGGTACGCAAATATATACACACACACATACACACAGAGAAACACATATACACATACTGGGCCACAGCAACGTGTGGCAGGGGATGACTAGTATAGCATAAAAATATATATCTTCAGTTTTGCCTCAAAATTCTGAGTTTAAGGAAACTGGCTTTTCATATGCAGATTAATCCGTTTCACACTTCAATACTAAAGGGTCAGATACTTTGAGGACCAGTATCATCCTTCACAATGTTTTAAAGATTTGTGGCCCAACTCATAATTAGCATTTTTCTCTATCCAATTTCCAGCCCCACCTCTAACATAAATATTGGTAGGTTTAATATTGTAGAATTCATATTCTACAATATGAATAATTAAGTTTGTCTTTAGGGTTTGATGATGACAACGAGGACGCTTTTCTCAATAATAATAATAATAAACCTTTATTTATACCCCGCTAACATCTCCCGAAGGACTCGGTGCGGTTTACAAGAGGCTGAGGCCCAACACATCAATAAAACAACAGCATAACAAATACAACACTAAATAAACTCATTAAACAAGCAATAAAAATTAGAACAATAGCAATAAACATTAGACAATAACACTATGACACATTTAAAACTAAGGCCGGGCCAAATGTAATGATTAAAATTTTAAAATGCTAATCATGACAGGTGAGATGGATAGATTTTTGGAGATAGGTGCGGCATGCAGACAATCTTAAATCTCTAGTAAAGTTCATTTGGGACATGATGCTAAGAGTTTCCTATTCTGGGAAGGCACACTGGAACAACCACATCTTCAAGCTCTTCCTAAAGACTGCCAATGTTGGGGCTTGTCTGATATCCTTGGGGAGAGAGTTCCAGAGTCGGGGGACCACCACGGAGAAGGCCCTGTCCCTCGTCCCCACCAATCGCGACACAGGTGGGATCGTGAGCAGGGCCTCTCCAGATGATCGGAGAGGCAGTCACGCAGGTAGGCGGGTCCCAAACCATTTAGGGCTTTGTAGGTAAGCACCTGCATCTTGAATTGGGACCGGAAAATGAATGGCAGCCAATGGAGCTCCTTAAACAGGAGGGTTGACCTCTCCCTGTAAGGAGCACCAGTTAACAATCTGGTCGCTGCCCATTGGACCAGTTGGAATTTCTGGGCCATTTTCAAGGGCAGCCCCACATAGAGTGCATTACAGTTGTCCAATCTGGAGGTGACTAAGGCATGGACCACCCTGGCCAGATCCACCTTCACGAGGTACGGTCACAGTTGGCGCACGAGTCTCAATTGTGCAAAAGCCCTCCCGGCCACCGCCGACACCTGAGCTTCAAGCGTAAGTGATGAGTCCAGGAGGACACCCAAACTGCGGACCTGTGGCTTCAGGGGGAGTGCAACCCCGTCCAGCACAGGTTGCTACCCTATACCCCGATCTGGTTTACGATCGACCAGAAGAACCTCTGTCTTGTCAGGATTAATCTTCAGCTTGTTCATCCTCATCCAGATAGCCACAGCGGCCAGGCACTCGTCCAGCACCCGAGGGGCTTCCTTGGAATTAGGTGGAAAGGAGTAGTAGAGTTGTGTGTCATCTGCATAGAGATAGCACCCAACTCCAAAACTCCGGATGACCTCTCTCAGAGGTTTCATGTAGATGTTAAAAAGCATGGGAGACAGAATAGAGCCTTGCGGGACCCCACAGGTCAAAGGCCAGGGTTCCGAGCAGGTGTCTCCCAGCTTCACCATCTGGGATTGACCCTCCAGGAAGGACCGGAGCCACGACGGAACTGTGCCCCCAAGACCCATCCCAGAGAGTCGTCCCAGAAGGATACCATGATCGATGGTATCGAAAGCCGCTGAGATGTCCAAGAGAACCAACAGGGTCACACTCCCACTGTCCAGTTCCCTGCGGAGGTCATCCACCAAGGCAACCAAAGCCGTCTCGGTGCCGTGGCCAGGCCTGAAGCCAAACTGTGACTGGTCCAGGTAATTGATGTCATCTAAAAAGGCCTGGAGCTGGGAGGCGACCACCTGCTCCAGCACCTTGCCCAAGAAAGGGAGGTTGGAGATTGGTCTGTAGTTGTTCAGCACCGTGG